TTAGGGTTTAACCACTCCTACCATATCTGCTTTTGGATAAACTCTTCCTTTGGCCTTTGAATTTGCTTTTAACGATTGCTTATGTGGAATAATATGCTCTTGTCTGTTATGTGTTCCTATCACTATATTTCAAAATGTTTGATCATTTCTGTTTCAAAGTACATACCTCTAATAGTGTGGACCTCACTGAGTTTGGCGCTCACCCCTTTATTTTATATAAATATCCCTCCCAGGAGCAGAGTCACAAGGAGAGTAGAGCCAGATGAATTATCGTATCTAGGAATGCTTGCTATAGAAGTGTTACGCTAGTCTTTAATTTACAAGTTTGTAATAACGGTAGGATTATGATTGTATTACCTACCTTGTTTCCGCAAATAAGGGACCTGTACTATTGTACCCATTGGCAGTTGCCGACTTCTAATAAAATATCTCTTTACTTTATGTTACGACCCTTTTACATTGGCATAGTCAGCATGAGATTTCTAAGCTGTGGTATCATCCATCCTCAATAGAGTGCCTATGGTGCTTACAATTTTATTCAGAGTTCCTGCACTCCAATATTTCCTACAGTTTTGATATCTCAACTATTTTAATTTCCTCTTAATAGACCAATCTTTGGCAATAAACGGTTTATTGTCAAAGTGGTACATATTATGTTTGAGCATAACCTCTTTTCTTGTAATCTCCTTGAATCGAACAACAAATACACCATTCTCCAATAGCAGAATTTTATCAATCACTTAACCCACCCCCCAGCCCACCCCCACCACCCCTCCCCACCCGCCACATTCCTTCTAATATATCCACACATCACCTGAGAAGGCGGGTGAGATCTAAGCACATAGCACAAAATCAAAGATTTCCAGTAATCAATTTTAGACTATATATCCACCTGATGGATTTTAGCCACTCTCCTATTATCAACTACCATTGGTTCAACATGGTGAAGCTTAGTCTCAACCTTGAACAGTTGATTCCAATCCTGAGTTATCACATTACTATCCACACCATTCACCTGTTTCCCTAATTTTTCAGATAATTCTACTTCCTCCTTCACAATCTTCTAATTACATAGCAGTTCTAACGCCTGATTATGCAAATTCAGGGAATTAGGGCTATTACCAGGATTCACTATAGCTCTGGATATCGAAGCTCCGATCTGGTTCTTAGGAGACTTCGATGTTGCTAGGTCCTCCATATAGCAACGAAGCTCTTCCTCTAGTTGCTCTTCCTCAACGACAGGAGCTTTCCCTTTCCTTCTCCATTGCGGTCTCGCCATGGGAGGCGTACGTTAATAACGTGCGCCGAGAGCTCAGGATTTTATATATATATTTAGACATTTTATTTTTTCACAAAATTCAATTACAGTTAAACCTCGATATATTAATAACCTCTTTTAACCTCATTTTATTTTGGTTGAATTCCAACAAGTCTAATGAAAATTTCATCTTAAAAAAAAAAAAAAACTTCTTTTCAATAAGTAACTTTTTTCCGATCCCAACTCGTGTCTAGTACAAAAAAAAAAAAAAAAACTCGATTAATTAATTACATAATAATTGTTCAAGAATCTCTTGTAAGTAAATTTATAATTTTGTAAATTAATAAATACCTCAAAATAAAAAAATAGATCTGAAGATCAACTTAGATTTTATCTTAATTATTTGTTGATATTTGCAATTTTCATCTTTTTGGTCCCTTAGAAAAGTTCAAATAATATAAAAATGGCATCAACAGACACCTTTCCTAGTGAAAATAATAAATCTTGGTAATTTATTTGTTGATATGATTGAAATGTTTTTAAAAAATTGATAAATTAATAATTTATAATTGATGGATAAATTAATAAAATTCTGGGAGCCAAGTGTATTATTATATAGAGATTATTGTACACTTTGATCTTGTTGGTTGAAAGTTAATTTTGTAATTTTTGTCCATCAAAATAATATATATAATAATGGACTAAGAAGATGAGTTTTTTGATAAGTTTAACTAGATGTTTCCGCATGGCGAATGCCCGGCTGCCCGTAAATAAATTGGTTCAATAATAAAATAAATATTCAAAATTAAAAAAATTCATTAAAAATCAAAAAATCAAAAAGTTAGAAAAATTTCTGAAATTTTTCTAACTTTTAACCTTTTGAAATCTTTTGAATTTGAAGCTAAAGATATATTAACTAAATTTATTGATTTTTGGGAAGGAAAATTAAGAATGTTTTACATTAAGAGTGAAATTTTTCTAACTTTTAACCTTTTGAATTTGAAGCTAAAAATATATTAACTAAATTCAGTGATTTTTGGGAAGGAAAATTAAGAATGTTTTAGGCAATTTATCCAGTATACTCAGAAGCACCATACTCACACTCTTATTTTTTGCATTTATAGTCCTTATTGTACTTTCTCTCATATTTTTATATTTTGCAAGTTTAATCCCTATCAGTTTTTTCTCTCTCCTACAAAAAACATTTCTAATTTTTAAATGAGCATAGCTCTCAATCCGTGAAGAATTAGAAAACGTGTTACACATGAATTTTATTATATTCGTCGAGGTCTATCCAACAAGATCCATATGGAATATCTTTTTCGGACTTAAAAATGATTAAATTCTGATGGGTAGAAATAGGGTGGATATCGAGTTTAAGAAGATAGATAACCAACTTATTTTAAATTGGTTATCCATTGTGTTCATGCTGATTATCCAACCAGTTTGAACTGGTTATCCATTTCATTTGTACTGCTTATCTATTTGGTTTATATGCCTATCCAACTTATTTTGTAGTTGTAACCCAACGGGATTATATGCATATCCAACTTATTTGTACTGGATATCCATTTGGTTTGTATGGATATCCAATTTATGTGTACCAGTTATCCAACGGATTTATATGCTTATCCAAATTGTGTGTACTGGTTATCCATTCATTTTTTTTGTTTCGAAAAATCATTGTCCAATATGCTAATACTGGTTATCCATTTTGTTTACACTGCTTATCTAATCATTTTTTTTTTGAGAAAATACTTATCCAATGTGTTCATATTGATTATCCAACTCCTTGCTATTGTTTCTCCAGCTATTGTTTTTTATAAAAATACTTGTCCGATGTGTTTGTACTTATTATCCAACTAATTGGTACTGCTTATCCAACCTAGTTTTTTTTCTTATAATGGTTACTCATTGTATTCATACTGATTATCCGACCGATTTGAACTAATTATCCATTTCGTTTGTACTGGTTATCCAATCATTTTTTTAGAAAATCATTGTCCAATGTGTTAATACGGATTATTCAATTAATTAGTACTGCTTATCCGACCTAGTTTTTCTTTTTATTATTATTTTTTTTTGAAAAAAGATGGCTGTCCAACGCGTTCGTATTGATTATCCAACTGCTCGATATAGATTATCTGACCATTTTTTCTCCACTCTTTATGAAAATCCTTGTCCATTTTTTTATACTGACTATCCAACCGTTTTATATTGGTTATCGAATCATTTTCACTGATTATCCAAACATGATTTCTCTTCTTCTTTTTTTTTTTTTGAAAAAATATGGGTCCAATGTTCATACTGATTATCCGACTTCTTGGTGATGGTTATCCAATTTTTTTTCCTTTCTCTTTTATGAAAATAATTGTCCAATTCTTTTGTATTGATTATCTAACCAATTTGTACTACTTATCCAATTATTTTCAATGGTTATCCAAGTGGTTTGTCATGCTTATCCAAATATTTTATTATTTTTTTCTTTCTTTTTTTTTTTGAAGAGGAGTGAGTGTCAAATATATGATTGGATAACCAGTACAAACGAAATGGATAATCAGTCCAAACCGGTTGGATAATCAGTATGAACACAACGGATAACTATTTTCAGAAAAAAAAAACCATATTTCTTCATTTCCACTGGTTATCCAAGTGGTTTGTACTAGTTATCCAATCATTTTTCCCCCTTTTTTCTGAAAAAATGGTTGTCCAACGTCTTTGTACTGGTTATCCAACACAAATACTTTCTTCGTTTTTGCCCGGAGTATTTTACTTTTTTTATTTCTCGAAATTAATATTCAACATTAATCTTATCGGATAGATCTCTTCGAGCACTATAAATTTCATTTATAATTTGTTTTGTAATTCTTTATGGATTGAGAGATATAAATTTTACAAGAATATCAATATAAAATAAGTTGGTTATCCATCTTTTTAAACTGGATATCCATCTTAATTCTGCCCATCGAAATTTGATCAATTTTAAACTTGAGAAAAATATTCGATGTGGATCTCATTGGATAGATCTCAACGAGTACTTATAAGTTTATATATAATTCGTTCATAAATTCTTCACAGATTGAGAGTTATGTTCGTTTGAAGATTAGAGATATTTTTTTTAGGAAAGAGAAAAGAGTAACAGGGACTAAATTTGTAAAATATAGGAAGAGTTGAGAAAAAGTATAATAAGGACTAGTAGTGCAAAAAGTAGGAAGGGGTGTATATGCTCCCGAGTATACCGGATACAAACTCATGTTTTATATTAAGAGTGAAACTTTCTTTCGAATTTACAAATGTGACTGTAATATATCAAAACCTTTAGGTCAAATTTGTTTAATTTAATTTTTGCCATTGAAGGTCATAACTCTATTTTTTTGACAATTAAGTTTAAAATCACTTTGTTATAAGGGCGGAAAAATATTGATTGTGGAGCTGACACCTTATTTTTTATGCTTTGATTAAGTAAAGCAGTAGTAGGAGTAGTAATAATAATAATAATGTATAAGTATACTATAGATTTGGTAAAGAAAAAGAGCACATTCATATAATATGATACATTTTGACATTCATATAATATTGTGACAGTACTTTTTGAAATAGTGTCTTCTCTTCTATGGTAGTAGTATGTTACAATCGTGATTCTTGAATTTATTTGTTTCTTTTTTCTTTTCGAAAATAGTTTCTATTGTTTTATGACAAAGATGAGTTGACTTTTCCATCTCTCAGCTGTCGGTCGTCTGCCGCCAAACCGTAATAAAATAACCAGGATCCATAACCCAAATGCCCGAACCCGGGCACCGCTGTCGGTGAGAAGAACATTATAGTTAGTGGGTCCTTTTCTCACCACCTTTGATATTGCTTCATTCCAAATCCAGCCTGTTTACACGTTTCAATCTGGATCATTAATTTCCTCCAAACCAAACCCCATCTCCACCGTCCGTTTCTCCAAAAGCTCCACTTCATCTAACCACCGGTCTTTCTCAGCTTCTTCTTTGTCCTTTTGATCCCTTTCATTTCACTCCCATTCAGTTCAGCTGTCCCCTCTTCATTTTTTCCTCTCAATTTCTTTAAGAATCCCAGTAATTTCCCACCGTTTTCGAGTAATATTGTGGGATTTCTGATCTGGGTTGGGTTCAAAAAATGGCGAAATTGTTAACGGTCGTTCTGATTGTGGCGGCCATGGTGATGCCGCTGGTGTTGGCCTACGAGTCGGTGCCGGCGAAAGTGGTGAAGACGTCCAAGGGGAAGAAGTATTGTACCAAGGGTTGGGAATGTACAACCCCATCTATCTACTGTTGTAATCTGACCATTTCGGATTACTTCCAAGTCGACAACTTTGAGCAATTCTTCGAGAAGAGGAACTCACCCATAGCTCATGCGGTTGGGTTCTGGGACTACCAGTCCTTCATCATTGCTTCTTCCCTCTTCCAGCACAAGGGATTCGGTACTACTGGTAATAAGACTATGCAGATGCTTGAACTCTGCGCTTTTCTGGGCCATGTCGGCAGCGGAACTACTTGTAAGTTTTCCTTCTCCCCATTTTGTTTTTAAACTACAATTTTATCAGGAAGGCTGGGAGATCTGAGTTACCTTAAATTAGGATGTGGGATAAAGCTAAGAAGATTTGATTGATTTATCTGTCTTTGAATTTTGATGTATAGCTAGATAATTTTGTGTTTAGAAGACATGGCATTTGATGGAATATGGATTTGTTCATTTTATGAACGATTGATTCAGTCCTAAATATGGCTTTAAATTGAATTTTGGGTTTGAGGAACTTGATTGTACAACTTACTAATCATATACCTTAACTCTAATGGGTTTGGGATCAAATGTGCCCAGCCTTATCCCTGTATTTATATACAAAAAAAAGGGTGTGTTTCTGCTGCGGGCTTGCGGCCTAAGATGCATAGCTGCATTAGCTGTATTGATTTCCAGCAACTTAAGCACCGGGATTTAATTGGTGTGTGATGGGGTTGGATTAACTGTTTTGGTTTGCCGGCTTTGTTTTCTATGTTTTTGGCATATTTACGGAATGGTGATTCGTATAATTCTTGTAGGTGGTAGCTTAGTATCCACAGGTGGACCTTATGCTTGGGGTCTCTGCTACAACCATGAAATGAGTCCTAGCCAGTCATTTTGTAATGATGACTTCAAGTTGACCTATCCATGTGCACCTGGAGCTGATTACTTTGGACGGGGTGCAATTCCTGTTTATTGGTAAATCTTGCTCTTCCCTTGTTAAACCAGTTTTCGTTTGCTCCATGATGAGTTGATAAGATTCCGAAATACCTTAGTGCCCAATAATTTATGCAAATTTGTTTTGGTGGTTTCTGCTCTGATACTTTGTCTCAAAGAATTCTGAAGTAAAATGACGAAGTATCCATTTTGTCTCATTTCTGGGGTAGCTCTTGTATGCGTCTCATTTAATGCATTATTGTAGTTTGGTATTCATTCTAGTCTGTATGATACTTAGCATTTCAATAGCTTGAGTTACTCATCACAGATATTCAAGATTTCTGCATCGGAGAGATTCAATAATCTCATGTGATTGATATGGAAGATATCCTTGCATCATTTAGCTTTAATTTAATACTATATGATTTTCTTATTGATAGAATTTACATTTGCTCTTTCCAGCCTCCTAGAATCTTCTTAAATTCTGCAACTATGTTTCATTTTCAGGAATAATAATTATGGTAGGATCGGGGAAGGCATCAATGAAGATTTGCTAAACCATCCGGAAAAGCTCGAACAAAATGCCACCATAGCTTGGATCGCTGCGATGCATCAATGGATGACTCCAGCTGAGAAGGGGCTGCCTTCTCCCCATGAAGTATTCATTGGTGACTGGAAGCCTACTAAAAATGATACTTTGGAAAACAGACTTCCTGGCTTTGGCTCCACCATGAATCTCCTATACGGGGAGAATGTTTGTAATAAAGGTGATGATGCCACCATGGGCAGGTACATCAACCATTTTCTCTATTACGCCGACCTGTTGGGTGTTGGTCGAGAAAAGGCAGGACCTCACGAAGTACTCACCTGTGAACAGTCAAAACAATTCAAGCCTGCCTCAGGCAAAGCTTCCTCCTAAGATTTGTTGATTCTAAATGGCCTACATTATGTTCTGAAATGTATCATGTCTTGAAAAGAACCATGTAATAAAAGGAACAAATGTGGTTCGCATTGGTATCTGTGTGAAGATTAGATAGCTGAAAATGTAGTAATATGCAAGTTCTGTTTCATATTGCCCTTTTTTGGAATGGATTTTTGGTAAACTCTCTGTAATATGTGTATGTTGAAAGGGTTTTGTTTTGTAAAATTCATTTCATATACAACTTGTATACTGTAAATGTTTGGATACTTTATAAATTCTATAAGACTTGTTTGTACTCTTGTTTAGTGGACTGTCCCCCTTTTTAATTAGAGTTTAGTACTTTAGAAATAAAATAATTTGATTAAATTTATGGGATAAACAATAATTTGTATACTAATTACTTAGAAAATAGACCTTTTCTAAAATGCATTTCAGGTGAGGTGGAAATATTTTCCTATTTTGAAAAAAAGAAACTTCTATAATGAAAAATGAACAAAGGTGGAGTCGAAACAGAAATGAAACTAAATTCGCGTCTTTACTTGGAGTTAAATGTATTTTTACTGTCATTTACAAATCAGGTAAATTTATTTTTATGTATATTTTCGATTCGTCATGGATCAAATAATGAATAATGATACATTAAGTAGGAGTTCAGTCGAATGCTTGCGATCAAAAAATTAGAGGGATACATGAAAGTAACCGAAAGAAATGAAAGATACGGTATCTCACCATTTTTAATTATTTGATATAAATATTTTGTTACTCCATCCATTCCAAAATAAGTGTCGTTTTAGCAAAATGGAGAAATTCCAAAATAAGTGCCGTTCTTACATTTCAATGCACTTTTTGTCAAAAGTTTTCAAAATTATCCTCAAAAGAATTGATACTATTGGTGGACAATTTTATAATGGGATTGGTTAAAGATATTTAAGTAATTTTATTACCCTATTTAAGAATTTCTTAAATTATGTGCAAAGTGTAGGACGACACTTATTTTGGAATGGAGGGAGTAATAACTAGCCATTTACATGCAAAAAAGTTCATGATGTATAATATAATACTACTCTATTAGATCGGGACGATTACTTCACTACTGTTGGGAAAATGACAAACAAATTGAGAATTTTACTTTTCACTAATGCATGGAAATGGACTTAAAGAAAGCCGCCAGAATGCGATTACAAGAAGCCAGTCAGTCGGTCAATGATTCAACTGTCAACAAAGTTAAACTTGTAAAGATAATCCTGAATAAGCATTTCATTTTCAAATGTTTCAAAGTCTGTGTCTAATCACACCGCGGCTCTCATCCAATTCGAAGCTTGCTTGGCGAAATTCAGGACTATTGAAGAATGGTTTTAGGTCTCCAATCCCATAGTCAAGTGCCTGCAGAACATACACATTCATTTCTCAGTGAATTAAATCAGCAAATAAAGAGAAACTGCAATAATTTACAGACAATGGACGCATCAAGTTTCATCTATACATACCCTGGTTTGAAGCTCTTCCACTTTCACATCAATGTGCGTAAGGTTTGATGCGCCAGATGCTAATTCTAGATCCCGTGCACCATTTACAAGTCCACGTAGAAGATGTAAAATGACGGCATTAAAATCCTTCTTGAAGGTCATATACTTCTTGAAGCTCTGCAGAAGAAAAGAAAAAAGTTATGCCCTTGGTCATCCAATTTGCAAGGCCAAGGTAGTCCATATTACTTTCTACATTTACTTAGAGGATGCTAAAGTTCCAGAGCAATAAATGAGATGATGAGAGATTTGAATAGTCCAAAAATATTAGTTGAAATCATTCTAGATCGGAGGAAGGAGGCAGGCGTAAGCATTATTATCATTTAACAAGAGTGCATAAACAAAGAAGTGTGTAGCATCTACATATTCTTTGAATCCTGAAAACAGTAGGTTCATCTAAAACCCAAAACTCCCCATTGAAACTTTATCAGAGGTAGGATGAGTACAAATGTAGAAAGGTTCTAAATTCAAAGCAATGCAGAGTGAAAGAAGATGGCATAATAAGTAGACCTGTAAATTCAATTCATTAATACCTTTTGCAAAGCTTTCTGAACTCCAAACTTCTGTGTCGATATGAAAGAGTCCAATAGCACACGAATTGCCATGTCCACGTCTTCTTGAATGACATGCTGTCTCAGGTGCATCCGGGCATGTGCTTCAGACATCCTTATCATTGATTCTATGTGCCTCACAGCAATTGGGACTCCTTGCCCATGCTGCAAATTTGTAGGGATCAGTAAGGCCATCATCAGAATATGAAATTCACGGATACCAAGTGAGAACATATGAAGGACACTTACAGAGGATTCTCGGCGCAATTCAGCATATACTTGAGTCAGCTTTTCTAAGTCTGCATCGTGCAACCTTGGAAATATATTCAGTTTGGCATAGGTAATGTACTTCTTTAGCAACTCTTGTGGAATCACCTACATTAACAAATAAGATCAACCCCAAAAACTGATATTAGAGCTGAAAATTTGTGGGATACCAGCTGTCAAAACAGTTGAGAGGATACCTCTGGATCAGTAGGTAGCACTGATGCTTGAACATCATCTTGTGAATTCATAGTCGATCTGTCATCTAAAGTGACGCCTTTTGCTTGTGATTTAAAATGACTATCAACCACAAACTTTGCTAGCATCTCATCAGTTACCGGATCAACCACATCCTGCAAAATAATCATTTTCCTCAGCAATCAAAATCAGATCTATGGCAATCCAAATGAAAAAACCCATGCAGATGAATCCAGGAAACATAACCTTGACAACACAGAGAACATCAAAACGAGAAACTATAGGATCTGTCAATTCCACATTTTGCGAAAAGGTCTTTGATGAATCATACCTGCAAAGTAAGAATTCATGTTTGAACATATTAGCAGATTCAATAGCAAATGATCCAGAAAACAGAAAATAAAGAAAACACCATATGAAACCATCTTGGTGGTGAAATCCACATCCCTAGCTAGTAAATTGAAACTACAACAAAGCCATATTAAAACCAGTAAATCTAACAAAGTTTTAGCAAGGACCCATTGATCTCTCAGATCAGACTCTCAAGTCAAAAGAACATGATAGTGGTATGGCTTGCGTTTCTATTAATTTTATCAAATAGATTTCGTACATTAATAACGAAGCATAAAGGAAGAGTTAACATAGACCTAATAAACTAAGCCTGTGAAGGAATAAGCTGTCCGAAAAACAGTTAGTATGATAACTTGAGGTGAAGGGATATGAATGCTTGCAGTAAGTTATTAACCACGGTGGGAGGTATTACGTTTCTAAGCTGAACAATTCACCAACCATAAGACAACCAGCTTCATGCATCAGGAAATTGTCTGAATTCACATATTTATAGCAGGAAAAGCAGTCCTTTGTACAATGTTAGCTTTAAGCCTTCCCAAAAGGAATCCTGATTGACTAGTTCTTATTTGATTACCAAGTCAACTTCAGCTAAAAAAGACTGGCATACCTTCCACCGATAGGATTGGCAGCAGCAATAACTGAACAACGGGCCTGAAGAGATGTGACAATCCCAGCTTTTGATATGCTGATGCTTTGCTGTTCCATGGCTTCGTGAATACTCACCCTGAATAAAATAAAAAATATATTAACAAGAGCAAGTGGGAATAGTCATCACAGAAATATCGTACCTGTCCTGATCATTCATCTTATCAAATTCATCTATAAGGCATATTCCTCTATCAGCAAGCACAAGAGCCCCTCCTTCCAGTGTCCATTCTCGCGTCACAGGGTCCTTGTGCACCGCTGCTGTAAGCCCTACAGCGGAAGCTCCTTTTCCAGTTGTGTAGACAGCTCGTTGACCAGTCTTTTCAACATACCTGTCCGCATTTTATAGTAATTAAAAGTCCTGAGCAGTTCAACAAAAAATAATTTATTCCAGATGTAGTCATACTTGAGAAACTGGGACTTGGCCGTGCCCGGATCACCTAACAGTAGAACATTGATGTCACCCCTTAGTCGATGTTTCCCTTCTACATTTTTCTCTTGGCCTCCAAACATAGCTAAAGCAATTGCAGTCTTTATGTCTTCGTGACCGTAAATTGAGGGAGCGATAGATTTGATGATCTAAAGATGTTCAAAGGAACACGAAACTGTCAGGTGAAAGTTTAGAATCTAAAAATCAACTCATGCTTGAAATCCCAGATATGAATTGCTAACAAAGTTTTGTTTATTAATCACTCACTCGTTCGCCAATCCTTGGGTCCTTGGCCAGCTTCTCAATTTCTTCCTTGTCTTCCTGTGTGAGTTTGTAAGCTGAAAAGAGGTCTTGCTTCTTCGTGACATAATTTGCTTCAATGACAGTGGCAAAAACAGGGAATCCATTCTTTGTGTTGAGAGACAAGTCAAAATTGTTTGTGTAAACGCCGGTTACTTCCTGAAGAAAAAAGCATACGAAACCAATGAGTACAGCAAGCTAGTCATGATTATAAGAAACCTCTACAGCCACTGGACATTAAAAGGTTAAAGCATTACAATCTCTTCGCCAGGACGGGCACAATCGATCAGATCATTCAATAGTATTACTTCCTTATATCTTGGAAGTCGTCCAGCTGGTACAATTCCTGGGCTCTCTTGCAAGGTCAGTTTCTGGTAGTTCCTGTATATTGTCTGCAATAAAACCATACTCAGCTAATACAGCATTTCACTCTTTCTTCAAATCCAGAACCACAAGGAAAGAAGAGCTACCTGCTCAATGTTTACTGTGAAAGGTCCTTTTGATTGGCACTCGGGGCATGAACCAACCTTGACCTCAGAATATGAATTCTGGAAAAATGGTCCTAAAATTGATCCGCATTTGTTGCAGTCATACTTAACTTGCTGCAATTGGGGAAAGACTCCAGAGCGCCTGGTCACAACTCCCCCAATACGAATCATGGTGTTCAAATGTATTTGTCTGCAAGTAACAGAAAATGACTGAGGTATTAGCAGTGGCTTAGTTTCAAATAGAGAAAACAACGAAACTTGAAAGATAAATGTACCTTATGTTGCGTATCTGATCATAGACCGGTAAGTTTGTTACGCGAACATAAATTGTTTGATGGATTTGCTTGTAGTTTGGATGCAAGTGGAAAACAATTTTGTTAGCTACTTCTTCCATGACTTCAAGGACCGAATGCGGTGCATCTGCTAGCCAGATTGCAATGTTTGGGTGGATGTAGATGAACTGTTTGTAATCAATCTCAAGGCTGCACTTGTTCACTGCACCCAAATCGATTGAATTGGAGATGAAACATTATTGGTAAAATAATTATAATCACTGTACGAGAACTAAAACATTGCAATGTTTGAAGAATTCAACTTAATCATTAGCTAAAAGGTAGGAAGAATTCTACCTGATACCATCTCATTGATCTGCCGCAGATACTCACAGTCCCCACTTTCATTCTTTGGATTAACATAGGTGAGCAAGAAATCCCTAAATTTCTTAGCGATGAAACGGCGTACTTCATCTCTAGTAACCCATTCTCTTAAAGTTCCCTGAACCCGATACATTTCAAACTCACCCTCATCGTTGTCATCATCCTATGGCAAATAAAAAACACAAGTATGTTAGTGCATTCCGACTATCCCTGAAAGAGGCAACGAATCACAGCTATTTCAATGTAGAAAAACCATACCTCAAATGGATCATCATCAGTTGCATCGGTCATGGGCACATCTTCCCGTGAGTGTCCATGTGATCTACCAGGTGAACTTTGCATGGCATCAATATCATCAAGGTTTCTTGGATTAGTTGGAGGTCTAAAATCAGCTCGTGTTCGCTTTGAGGGCCTATAGTTGTCATCATCGGTATCTAAAAGAGCAAATGCAAATAAGAAATGAGAATAAATCAAGCATTGTTGAAGTTACACATCCACAACGGTATGAAATCGAGTAGGGAATATCATAGTTGATTTCACCCAACATAGAAGAATGCAAAAAGTCATGCTGGTTATGAGATGCAGTCGAATAACAGACACATCGAGATAGAGCCAACTAGACACAAACCGAAGAGGAATATGCATAACTTGGAAAAAGCTCGAATATTAATTTCGAATAGTACAGAAATTTGCAGACAGATATGAGTTTCAATTCCAAAGTACAGGCAGAAATTAAGCAACCCTAACTTATTAATGTAGAATAGCGATTGAAAACTAAAAATAATGCTTAGTCTGAAGCCCTGAATAAGTGAGGAAAAATACAGAACATCTAGCCATCCGAATCCATTTGCACCTCAAGGGTTTAGTATCATACATAATAGATGAGCCTAAGAAAACAAAAGAAGACAGAAATGAACAGAAAGAAGCAATACCCTGATCGTGGAGAAGCTCGGGGAGCTTGCGCTGGGAAGAGACGCCGAATCGAGTATCTCTGGCATCGAGTTCCTTCTCGGCGGCGAGCCGGTCTCTCATAATCTGATCCAAATCCCTATCATCCTCCAACGAGTCATCCAGCCCAAGCGCTTCGTATTGGTCTTGCCCTTCCATCCCCCGATAATCGTCCATGAAGTTTTCGTTGAAGAGATCCTCGCCCTCCTCCGGCTCCTCTTCAATCTCCGGCTCGTCTCTGATGATTTCTGGATCAACCTCAGCCTCCTCAATATCTTCATCTTCTCCTAACTCTTCCTCCTCCGAGTAATTCTGGCTCGTGTTGAGGGGCAGCTGATCTGTGTTAAACCCTACAGACGTCGGCGAATCAGGCGTCGACGGGGTCGGATTGACGTTGCCGTCGTCGGACTGAGAAGGTGACCGGCCCCTCGGAGGCCTTCCATCTCCGTCACCGCCGCTTCCAGATTCCCTTCCTCCTGCCATTTTCAATCGAATACTATGAGAACTGTTTTGCTTTTCCCTATCTTCCTCCTCTGGGAGTTTGCCGATTAGGAAATGTGGTTTCTGTTTGAGGATGAAGAAGTCCCAGCCCCAATAGTCAGCAGATAGTCTGCTTGTTTTAGCGGGAAATTTTGGCGCCAAATTCTGGACCCCGTGGCAGTTATGGGCCTGCAGACCCTAAAGCCCTAAACCCAGCATTAGTGTGGGTTTTTTATATTCTGTGCTAAAAAAATTTTTACACACTTTTTTAAAAAGTAGACAGTCTATCATCCTTTTCTCTCTTTATTTAGTTTTCTCGATGTATTTTAATTCTATCAAGCTCGTAGGTTTTAGTAGTTTCGATTTATTTCCTTAAAAAAAGAAAAATAGATAGTTATCGAACAAAAATAAGTTTCCTTAAAACCAGAAACTTTTTAATCTCCCAGATGAAACCAAATTTTGAAAGCCAAGAGAACAACATTGGTAAATTTTACAACATTGGAAAAAATGAGGAACCAATGATCAAAACTAGCATAAAAATGCAGTATACAGCTTTGCTGCATCCAACAATGGTTAGCGAAATCTATTGGATACAATGTTTTCCAATTTCGGGACCTCCACAAGCCAAGGATTACAGGATATGAATTACGAAGTATTCTATTACTCCCTCCGGTCCTTATTACAAGGCATTTTAATTTCGTCATAAGGTTTACTTAGGATGTGTTTTTAAATGAAAAAAAAAACTTAAAAACATTTCATAATAAAGAATAAGATACAAAGAACGTGAAAATATGTTTTTAAGATTTTTTTTTCAATTAAAAAGATATTTTAGATGAAACATCAGACGAAATCAAAATGTCTTATAATAAGGACCGGAGGGAATATAATTTATAACTTCAAACAGTGGAGAAATGTAGCCCATGCATATTTTCAATACAAGACATCCGTACATTTCCGTGTCAGTGACGACGACGATTACTGTTCTTTTTTCTGTTATGACCCTCAGAATCAGAATTGTCAGATGTAGTCCGACCAGAATGCTTGTGCTTAATGCTCCTCTTCCGGTGCCTATCATGGTCAGAGTAGTCTGACTCTGACGTGCTTGAGTAAGAATATTTCTTCGGTTTTCTTTTATGTCTTTCCTTGTTTGATGATGATTTCCTCTCCTTATCATCACCAGTTGATTTTTTTCGATGCCTATCCGAGTCGGAGTAATCAGATTGGCTAGAGTACGAGCGCTTTCTGGATTTCTCTTTATGCCTTGTCTTCTTTGAATATCTCTTCTCCCTATCATCACTAGATGATGATGATCTATCATCTCGATGCTCATATCGAATGTCAGCTTCATGCAAACTTGCCTCTGATTGCCTTGATAACTTCTTACTGCGTCTCTTCTTTTTCAATCTATTACCCATATCCCCACTAGCTAATGGCTTATCCTCTAGTGCATCGTGTTGCATGTCAGAGTCTGAGTTTTCTTCTGACCTTGAGTGTGGAAGCTTCTTTCTGAACTTCTTCTCTCTTCTAGTCTTCAACCTCCGACCACTATCATCGCTGGAAGATGAACCATTTTCTGGATCATCATGTTTGTTTCTACTAGAGGGTGACAACTTCCTTCTATGCTTCCTCTTTCTGCAAAGCTTATTTGATTCACTTGAATGAATATTTGCCAGCATTTCAGAAATGTCGTTCTCACCAAGGAAACCTGCATCATTTGGTAGCAGACAAAATACTTGATCAGAAACATTGATGAAACCACCACTGAAGTAGAGACTTCATAAAGAGCAACAAATTGTTTAACTTTATTTATTTATTTATTTTTCTTTTGAGAGAAACATTATAGTCACCTCCATACTCGTCGAATATGTCTTCAGCAACTATCTGTTGGTTCGGGTCATCAGGTTTGAACCCACCACGGGGAGGAGTCAGACCAGGTTTCTGTTTCAGCTCCCACTTCAGAGGCTGCAAAATCAGGCGAAGAGAGTCAAAATCCAGGGTGCAACATTCTGAAAGCACATTACTAAACACCAATTTTGATCAGATTAACAAATAATACTCCCTCTGTCCCAAAGTAAGTCATGTTTCTTTAATGAATTCAGTACAAGAAGCATGGCACTTCTTTTGGGTCAAAACCTTCAACAAATTTTCCTTTTTTGGCTGGGGCTTGGGGGGAAGATTACACTTGTCAAGGTTCAAACTCAAACAGAGTAGTTATTACACCCCCACCTTCCCAACACCCCAAACTCTCTCCCCATATGGCCATTAGCTAGTTATTATTGCAGTACAGTAATCAACTAAACAAGATGATACATGTAAAATGAAGGAACTAAGTAAAGTACTGAGATGGAAACAGCAAAAAAACCTACTAACTAGAAGTTTGTATATGCTTTTCGCAACTCATGCCTAACAATGTTATAAAGAATCCAAATGACCATTGCCCAAAGTTATCTAATATAGCCCAGAAGTTTTGTCACATGTAGCCTCCCTCTCTCCCTCCCTCTTAGCAGATGGGACTCAAAAATGTAAAGTTCACTGCGAAAAGCCAACGCTGCTGAACAACTGCTGACCATCTAATCGACCTGGGACGTGAGGTTACTAGAAGAGCATACTTTAGGCAAATAAAAACACCAGACACAAACGGAAAATTCAATCAACCCCAGGGAATGGAGGCATACAGCCCATTGCCTTTCTGTCCTATTCTCAGTTTTTATTGACTATCATACAAACTTTAGCGGCGAGATTTTTACTTCCTTACAGATAAATTGTGAAGGGAAAAAAATGTATAGATCCAGCAAGATAAAAAAAAAAGGCATTAAACAACTGAAAAAAGCATAGTATAGTTCCAGCAAGATAAAATGTATAGTTCCAACAAAACTATATATGAATCTGAAAATAAACAAAAGCATAAGGAAATCTATGGTAATACTTGACCTCGTTAAGATCTGTCTGAGCCAGGATAACTGTTAAAGGATCATCCCTTTTTAACCGACTTTCTTCAGAAGGCATTATAACGTCTTTCAATGGACATTCACGATCACCACTTTGGTGACCGTAGTTTCCACATCTCAAACATTTAACATTGCGTATCTCCACTCCAAATGGTTTCGATCTGGCAGCAACACCTGTCTCTAGCCTGCCACAATGATGGATAATGACATATATGACATCAAAAGAAGAAGGAAGGGGGGAAGGAGGAAAAGAAATCTGATATACAGAGCAGACACCGTAACAGAAACTCACCAACTTCTAACTACTAGTTTAATGCATATTTCAGCAAATACAAAACCCTAACAGATCTGCCATTACGAGGGTATCAATGCACAAAATAGTTCTACAAAAAATCTTCCATCTAAGCACTGAAATGCTTCTAAAATTTCAAGACTCAACCTTAACCTAAGAAAATGGCAAAGACAATAAGAGAACTTTAACAAAGGTTTAAGCTTTCCATCTCACAAAGAAAAATCAACATAAATGCACACTTTCAACAACTAAAATCGTCCACATTTGTCGCATTTTCTTACAAAGATGCAAGGAAGTCGACAGTTGCTTAAATTTCACTAAAAGAGTTTCAACTTCTTTATTTATAAATAAATCATTCCTGCATTCACATAAAGCCAATTGAACAGTAGTTTTGACTTCAAATGTGGTGCATGACTATGGTATAGAATAGAAACCATTTTGGAAGTGTGGTCAGATTTTCCCATCAAAAGAGGAAATTACAAGCACTTGCAACAATCAAATAACCTTAAGACACTGAAATGAGAAATGAACTTGTAATTTCATCAGATTAACAATATTTTCCACGCTTCTCTCAACCAATATTCCAAAACACCACAACGAAAAAGCAAAGTCTGTATTCTACATCCCAAATAGAGTATTGACATGTAATTGTTCCAATGGTAAACTATAAAGCTGGCCTTTAGGAGCCACGGAAAATCGGAAATTTCTCAACCATAACCTTTGCGTAGGGAGCATGAAAAGAAGCACTATATCGATTAAACCTAGTTATGCTGAAAAGAACTTCTGACATAAAAGATAAACTTCTTGGCATATTAGACAAACCTTGGAGCATTCTTGAGAACCTCAAATTGTTCTTCTGTCGGGACTGCACGACCAAAGACATCTTTCGGTCTAGGCTTTTTCTTCTCCTCCCCCCTGAATCAAGAATCATAGTCAATAATTCTCTCTAACTTAAATTGCAGGACACATACTTCCCCAATGTGTCATCACAACCTAAGGGGAAAAGGAAACAACAGTCCGAGTACAAAAGCAGCAATAGAAGCATATGAAAACCTACCTTGCCACGGAAGGCCCCGTTTCAGATTGCCCATGAGAACTACTTTCTTGCTCATGCTCTTGGTTCTTTTTCTCATCAGCCAAGTCTGCAGCCTTAGCACTCTCTGCATTGTAACCAGGCGGTCTAACATACATAAAGCTGACAGCTCTCATCATCTCCATCTACAAGTCAAATAATATAATTTACTTCACCATTTGATTATTATAGTATTCATTCAAAAGTTTACAAATGTACTTGATTATCAGAAGCATGGACTTAGCTTCAAGTTGCTCTCTTTCATTTTAATAAAAAGCAAGAAAACAAGAATGTATTTGGAAGGGTGATAGAAAGGTGAGAAGTTGACCATCATTCCTGAAACAGAAACAAATCCCAGTACCACTAGTTTATCCATGATTTTGGGTTCTTAGTTAATCACCAGATAAAACAATAATGGGATTAGCTGTTGTGTTAATAAACAAGGAGCAAATGCTACCTTTTCTTTCTCCTTCTTAGAGACAAGAGCGGTCTGACGGAAAAATTCCTGCTCCTGAGCATACTGCAAAAACCACAATAGCAAGATAACATTAAGAGCTGAAATCACAGTTAAAGAGGGAATGGAAATACATTGTTCCCCTCAGAGAACAGAGAGAAAGTGTACATAAGAAACAAGTGAGAAGAAGGGTGTATGTAATAGTGATGTTAACAGTAATGTCACCAAGTCAAATCCAACACGGAAGGAAAAAGAAGAAGGTACTAGTAATCAATATTTCAACAATTATGCTGCAAAAACCAAAATCTACAGAATATGAATGATCTGTCTTGACATAGTGAAGTCACATAGCATAATCCAGACAACAACTTAAAAAACTAACGCAAGAACAGGTACTTCACTACATCACAAGGAATAATAAACAATACAAAGGATTTTCTTTCCCATTCAAGCCAGGCTCCCCAATGAAGCGTAATTCCATGAAATCTCCAAGACATACTTTATTCCAGACTATTCATAGCATTAATTTCATATTTCAGTGTTACCAAACTGTTCTTTCGACATACCACACCACTTAGACAAAATGTATGCAGCTCCACCTTAGAAACAAATTCTCTTCTTTTTGCTTTAAATTCGTCACCTTTTGTTAGTTTAACTCAAAATTCAGCACCAATATGCACAAGACAGCTAATCAAGATTATCAAAACAGACGAGTAAAAAATAAGAGAACAAACAATGCCTCTACTTCTACAACAAACATAAATACTGGAAAACTTGTTCTCTAATTAATTTATAATCAGAGTTACAAATAAGCTTAAAAATATCTCAAAACAACAGCATAACATGTTTCAACAGTTCATCATAATAAGACATAAAAAAAACAAGAAGGCAGAAAGCTCTTCTTCAAGTTCCAGTTGATGACAAAGTAAACATTGGAGCCAAAAATCTCCGATCAATGAGCAGTGAGAAAACCTAGTAGTAGTACCTCGCGGGCGACTTCTTCAGCACGGCGTTCCCGCTGGGCGTGGGTCTGCTCGGCAATCCATTTACGGCGTTGATTGGGATAGGAAAGAGGGTGCCATGGCTTCTGATTGAGGTAAGAATGAGACCAGGCGGTTCCGGATGTCGTTTTGTAATCAACCTCCCCTCCTTTGTCGGAGAATCGCTTGCTTAACCTGATTCCTCCACCTTCTTCTTCATCCATGTCCTCTTCTCCTCTTTTGCTCTCGATTCCACTTTTCTTTCTCAATTCAGTTTCAATGTGGAAGAAAACGGGCTGAAGAGCAGTATTATTTAATTAGTTTTATATTTTGTGCCCTTTTCTTCGGAAGAAATATGATTTTAGTCCTTGTATTCATTTAGGGGAACAAATGTAGTACTCAATGTTTTAAAGTGGTCAGTATCCCCAAAAAAATAATAATAATAAAATAATAATTAAATAAAAATTAAAATAAAAAGAGCTCTATCATTTTTTTTTTTTTTTAGCAGAAGAGAGCTCTATCATTTTATAACTACTTAAGTTCCACAACCATTAGGGGGAAAAAAATGGTAATCGTGAATTTCAATGTTAGGATTTGTTGCTAATATAGAAGCAGAAAAATGGGACAAGACGTATAGCAGCCTCCCTAAAATTTTCCTATTATATTACTAAAGAATAGTTTTATTATCTTCCTGGAGTAAATTTCGGGGAAAAAAAAAAAACCGTTCGCTCCTGTAATTTGTTTATTTATTTATTTTTGATAGTTTAACTCTTTTGAAATTCTAGGTTAGATATGTAATCACAAAAGTTGTAGCGTGCACGCATTGAATCTTAATATTTTAGAAACGATTAATACTTGATACAATCAAAGGAAATTCAAGACCTGTTAGTTGCTTCTTAAGGTCTGTATATTGCTCAAATATTATCAGAACTGTAGTACCATATAAAGTATTTACTATGATGCACATTTTGGTCCATGATGATTCTTGCTTGTACTTCTCAGATTTCCACTCAAGTTTGGCCATTGATTGCCTTTTGTGATTCCACTTCAACTTATTCATCCATTGCTTCTACTATTATTTTCCTTCTTCTTTTTTTGAAAAAAATTTACTCATAGAAATGTAAAGAAGGAAGAAGATCACCCCTCTAGCCATCATTACTGGAAACTGCAGCCCCTCCACCATAACAATGAATGGAGCTATCCATCCATATATGATATACACCTACACCCTACTGACCTTCTATTTGTCTCACTGAGGGAAAGAGTTGTAGACTACACAGGTAAACTTTTTTCAAGTAGGAAATTAATGACAAGGATTTTGGGGTCACTTCTTGTTTAATGACTGATTTATGTGCTTCTTCTGTATTTACTCAGGGAGCTTCCCTTTCTACCAGTTTCTCACTATTTTGTCGATTTTCTTGAAAACTTAAGCGATGTTGATCACTCTTATTCCAACTATGTAATACATATATTGTGAAACTTTCCAAGGTGACAAAGAGGTAAAAAAATATGCAGTATCTGCTGAATGTATTTGGTATTGGATTACTGGTGTTAACTTCCTTTGCTGATAGTGTCAATGTTGTTGTCTGCACTAAACAAAACTAACTTAGTTCTTTGGCATTGTAATGAGATATTATACAGTGTTTTTGCATCGTATCACAAATTGCCACCCCGCGAAAGTATGATCACTTTTGAAGAATGCTTGGTGGCCCTGTGACCTTACTGCAGTTCATTATAAAAGATTGTAGTGTGCTTTATCCTGTTTCTGTCCCAACTAGAAGATGAGTTTTTAAGACTGGACCGCAGAAAGACAAAACACCAATGGTGCAGGAAAAATATAGTACTTTGGTGTGCATAGAGCTTTGTGTGATGTGGTTATTACATGTATTCCAACTGAGTTTCTTAAAAGAATTCGTTCTTTTTCCCGGGTGGATCCTAAGTTCAGTTGGAGTTACTAAATTAAGTGGTTTTAAGGTTTAATAAAAAGCCCCACATTGATCTGAAACTCAGTGGACCTTTGTTGCATTTAGCATATAACTTACTTTTTAGTACTAATGGTCTGATCTCCCATGTTTTTACATTGGGTTTTTTTTTTTTTTCGGCTGCAAAATGTTACAAAAAAATTTTATTCTGCAGAACTATACTAAGTCAGTGCTTTTCCAACAAGCCACTACTAGTATGTTATGCCTCTCAAAACTTTTGGTATATGTTGTTGGATCATTCATCTGGCAGAGGGGTGGCGGCGTCTAATCCGAATCCAAAATTATTCCACACACTTGAAGAAGTGGAGAAGGAAAACTCTTCAAATGTGCTTTTTTTTCTTGATCATCATCTGCTTGGTCGTCTTGAACTTTTTTCTTCATCTGACTCTGTGCAATGCTAGATAAGCAATGAAGCGATATCCTACAAGCATCAGTCCCATAATGGCTACATCTACCCATAGATGGTTTAGACCAACTGATTTTACAGAAGGGAAATCTGCAACCCTGCAATATACTGCTTTTGAGCACTCATAGTAGTCATCTTCACTGAATTGAACTCCAAGAAGCAGCTTGAAACAGTAGTAACTGTAACTTAAGTATTTGAGCCAGACTATGAATGGCGGAATCTGCTGAATGTAGTAGCCACCGGCAATGAGGAAAACTAGCGTTGTCACGGATGCTAAGGTTGTGGCTTGTTTTACCTCCATCAGTATTGCGCCGAAAGCCAATCCTAAGCTCTGCGAAACAAGGACACTGAAGAGGACGACGAGAAGGGAGAGGATGAAAGTGATTGGTTCGGGTTTTAGGCCGCCCATCCAATATATTATGAAAGTGAATGCTGTTGGTAGTGCAAGCTCAAGTGGAAGATCACCCACTGTTTTTGCTAGGAAGTATGAAGAGAGATGGTACATTCCTGATGATCTTTCCTTGATTAGCATCCTTCTTTCTTGAGGAAATGTAAAAACAGCATTGTAGAGTGGGTAGAATCCCCAAAAAACCGAGAAGAAGAATAGCATAGCAATCTGCATACAGAAAAAATTCTACTTATTATCTCAGTTTTCTTGTTTAAAAAAAAAAAAATATATATATATATATATATATATATATATATATATTTGGAGTTAGGACACTCTTTTCTGCAAGCTTGAATAAGTAAATAGGAAGCAATGTATAGTACTTTTGCTACGAATTTCACACATAACCTTTAATGTCTTCTTCAGTTTCAACTTAAGCAGGTTGCAAACATGAATGGAAGTACATTTGTAGTTTGAATTGTGCTTACTTGATCTTCAAGGTGAGACATTGGGGTATGCCACCAAAGAAGCCCTCCAAGTATTGCAACACTGATGACTTGGAAAATCCTTAATCTGTTGAAGGTTTCAAATCTCCTTTCTCTAATACCCCTATGAAGTAACACATTAAACTGATGCCACCAGCTTGTGCACCACTGTTCCGACTTTCTCTCACGCTCTGCGTATAGTGATGGATGCGACAGGTTAAACGCGGCGATAAAATTTCTAAGGAAAGTAACAAAAATGACAACAAAATTTCCAAGTAACACATAAATGAAGCGTCTAACGTTTGAAATGAATTAGTTGGAAGTTCAGAAATGAAACTTACTAATGGAAGCAGTATCCTTGGTGTGAGCGTAGTTGTTGATGTCTATGCTGATTAGCTCATCTTTCAACCTTGTAGCAATACTATTTTCATAAGCAGTTACCAAAGCTTCTCTCACCAACTTCTGTTCCTTTTCAGAGCTTTCACCTAGCTCGATTGCATTCTTCGGATCAGACCCGATTCCTGAATTTTTATTTTTTTATTTTTTTAAAAAAAAGTAGGCAAAACAAATCAATATTCATGAGCCTAAAGAGTGAAAAAATTGGTTATTGGAAAGCAATCATACAAGTGAAAAGACAGGGCAGACAGAGCAAATATGATGAACATGTGGACCACTTTACTTATTCACTTTGATGGTCCTGAAAATATGAGTTTGAAACAATGCTATTTCTGTCCCAAAAAAGAAAACAGAAAAAAAGATAACTGGTTACCATTTGCAAGATCCAGCAGGAAATCAGCAGGATTCACGGTCAGGGAAGTCGAAAAGCCGATGGAAGAGAAGTACTCCAGTGCAGTTGATGCAGGGCCATAGAAAATTGGACAGCCCTCGGACAGCAAAACCAGCTTATCAAACATATGGTAAATACGGCTAGAAGGCTGATGGATGGTAGTCACCACCGTCCTGCCGCCGCCGGCGAGGCGTTTGATGGTGGTCATAATGCGCATCGCAGTGGTGGAATCCAAACCAGAGGTGGGCTCATCAAGCAACAACAAACTCGGGTTGATTAGCATTTCCTGTCCAATGCTAACTCTCTTTTTCTCTCCACCAGAAATCCCTCTGAAAAGTGGCCCTCCAATCATGCTATTCCTGCACCTGATCAATCCCAGCTCTGCTATTACATGCTCAACATGCTGGATTTTCTCATCTCTTGTCAGGCTGTTTGGCAGCCTTAGCATTGCTGTGAAGAAAAGTGTTTCAAACACTGTGAGGTGTGGATACAGGACATCATCCTGAGTTACAAAACCGGTTTGCCGCCTGATATGACCCGAAATCGGTTGCCCGTTGTAGGAGATCTTCCCTGATAGCTTGCTGGATAAACGGCCTCCAAGAGCTGTTAAAAGGGTTGTTTTCCCACTGCCTGATGGACCTAACATAGCAAGTATCTCTCCAGGACAAACCATCCCTGTTGGACCATTTAGTATTGTCTTCTCTTTGCTCGATTTTTCGCCTGATCCGAAACATATTCCTTTCTTCTCAATTGTCACTTTGTATACTATATCTTCAAACTGCAAAAGACATGGACAAACATGAGCTAAAAAGATTCTTTCAATTAGGAATCCAAATTCCTTTTTCCTACTGTCATTTTCTCCATCCAAAATTAGTAGTTTTAGCCATTTTTTTCAACAATGAAAAGTATGGTTATGTATACATATCTAAACAGATTGAGATTTGTTGGAGATTAATCGAGAAGACCTTGAGAGTAATGGGGCTCAAGTTCAGTTGGAGAAAGGACTGTGGTGATAAGGGCTGAGCTCCCATCACTTGAATGTTGCAAGTTTCTGGTTTTGGAGCAACTGAATTAAGGGGCATGGCCTAATGAATTTTTAGTGTTGTTATTTCTACGGTTGTTGGAGTTGGCTGGTGAATGAATGGAAGAAGGGGAGTGGAGGGTTAAGAAGGAAGTGCTTTTAACTTTGGTTTTTGAAGTTGAATTGGAGTTGAACACATTTATAAATAGGAGAGGACCACAAAGGAGGATCTCTTGAGTCTTTGAATGACCTTTTGATGTAGGCCTTTGCTTGCTTTGTGGGTTCCCCCCACCTTTTTTTTCCCTTTAATTCTAGTATTGTAAAACCAGTTGTTGCTTTCGTTTTTTACCTTAGTTACTTTGTTATATAATGGTCTATCACCCAAAAGGACTAGATCGCTTGTGTGTTTTACTTATTATGTTCTAGTCGTACGTGTATCATTAGTAACGCAATATATGTTGTGAAACAAAAACTTATCATTTTACGTTCAACTATAATCTTTATCAACGAAATAATGATATTTTACTGAAAAGACGTAAACAGCTAATATTCATTAATGTATACTTCTTCCCTCTTTCATCTGGCATGCAACAAGTAACCTTAAAAGGCATGCAATTGTTCTAAAGAGCTATATATGTATCTCATCATTGTTGTTAATTACTAATTAAACCACAAAAAAAAAAACAAGCAAATGATCTCCATCATCTAGTTAATCATGACCTTTCTGATCACAAAATATCACCTCAATAATGCATCAAACCTCTTTGTATGATTACATCTACAACAACTTGTTTGGTGTGGTTTGGGGAAAAAATGGACCTCTATAGAAACTATTCCAAAAGCTTTCCTAATTAAATGATCATCTCAATCTATTATGCGGCTATCATCCAACAATACAAGGTGGAGAATGAGAAACATGCCACTGAACAAAATCATTTTTGCAACATGCTTTGAAGTAATGGACGAGATACAATATTTGATGACATCAATTACTTATATACATAGATTTTTTTTTTCAAAAAATAAAAATTAGGAACCATTCTATTCTAAACAGAAACTGATCTCTGAATTTTTAAAAGATCGACATGGAGATTTGTACTCAATATTGATAACGGAAAGTCTTGAAAACTTGTGCGTGTGCTTACTGCTTAGTATAGACAATGATAGTGCTTCCCACCTTTCACTTCAATCATTTTGAGTACCTTTAAGGGCCTTAAATCTTTTTTTAAATAGATTTATTTTTTTGCTGCAAATGGATTCTTACATAATGTGCAATTGGATTCGGGTTCCCACTTCTCTGTAGTTTTTCTTTCTTCTTCTTCTTCTTTTTTTTTTTTTAAAAAAAATTTATTTTTAATTTCTCCCTTTATCTCATAGTCCAATTTTAATAGTAAATTTTCCGTACAAAATATATCTCTTTGATTCTAGCCCTCATATTCTGCATTTTGGGTGGCAATGAACATCGTTTTTGGTATCTTCTTTTAAGGATTGACTAATATAGTAGAAGTATGCCCTTTGGAAACTCTTTATGTTGTCTTTGCCCTCTTCGGTCGTGAATAGTTATTAACGGTTGATAATACTCCATCAAAAAAGTATAATTAATTAGTTATGTTGTTTTAATTTGAAACGGAAATATAATATTAGTATAGCAACGCAAACCTGCCATAATACTTATGTATTTTACAAATTTTGAATTAATTTTACTCGTGAAATTTAATCTAATGTACGAAATACTCCGGTCATTTTATTTGGATCAAATTTTGTTAAATTAAAATAGTTTATCAATATTGATTATCTTTCTAAAACCAGAGGGAGCTTGCACTAAACTTTCCAAACGAAATATAGAAAATTATAAACTGGAAAATTATTTTAAAACAATATTTTAAATTATTTGTTTATTCTCTGGGCTCCATTTAGTTGTAGCATCCCTTAAATATATATATATATATATATATATATATATATATATATGTGTGTGTGTATGTGTTTTCCAACTTAGTGAATTTAACTCTTTTTTTTGAAAAAGAGTCGTGTTTGTTGTGTTAAGAAGGAAGGAGTATAACAACAAAATCAATGAAGTCTAAACTTTACTTTAAAAATTAAGAAGAGTATTCTGAAGTTAAAGCCAAGTGATTTAATTAGGGATAATGATAGTGTGAGGCATTAATGCTATCAATGTCTAAATTTTGCAATCAATGAAAAATGAAATATACGAAAATCACGTTTGTAGAGATACCAAATACGCTGAAGAAACTGGAGGCAATTGGAAGAACATGGTATGATTCATCTCTCCATTAAAAGAAAGCGTTCGCGGGATATCTTAAGTATTGAGTACCACTCATTGCAACTTTGTATCTCACATTATGTAACATTTATCTATTAGTACAGTACTTTTGTCCTTAAAAAAAATAATCTAGGTCGAACTCTGAAATTTATATTAAAATTGTATATGGGCTATTTTCTTGACGGAGGAGGAGTATTAACCATTGAAGGGTCAATGTGAGATAAAAAAAAAATTGATTTATTAGTATGAATATTAATTAATACTTTAAAGAACACGAGTTGTGATATAAGTGAGCCTTGTAAATGCTCTGGATCTTATACTCATATTGTTTTTACCGAGTAATCATTTTATTTTTATTTGTGAAGAAAAAAAAGACAAAAATTTGAAAACTGTTATGGAAAAATCTGATTTGATTGAATGTCCACATTAATATGTATTATTTTGTTCACAATTAAGAAGATATGATTATGTAATATTTAGCATTGATGATAGGTGATTCATTTCACATAGTTTGATCCGTTGCTTCTTGTATAAACAGGGAGCTCATTCATGCTTCAAAACGCATCTGAATACAACTTTCTTATCTCTCTCTACTCTCTTGTCTATTATCTTTGTTCTTATGTTTAGTTTCATATTAGTAATCTAGCATTAATTTTATAACAAGTTATCAGCACGAAACTCTAGCCAAAGAGTTTTATGATACCACTGCATAAAGTTGGTGTGTATTAGTACTGAAAGTATGAAGTCTTCAGTAAAAATAATTAGTTTTTGTGACTGAAAATTTTTCGTAGCTTTGCTTCCACCCGACGATTCCGAGGTATAATCAATTTTTTTGGAGTCGTTCAAATTTGTGTGGTTATTATACTCTCGGTCTGCTCTGTTTGGTTCGGTCTGTATTAGGCCTTGTGCGAATTACCAGTTTACGTATTAGGCCTTTGCTTCATTGATTTTTTTTAGCATGATCAGTTTGCATGAATTAATGTTGTCGAATCATTACTCCTTTATTAGTTTTTTTCTTTACTTGAATTAATGTTTTTTTTGAATTATTCCTCCGTTTGCATGAATTAATGTTGTATATTATGCATATCAAAATAGTGGAAAATCAAGACAAATTGGTTTTGTCCATATGCATAAGTCAGTATTGGTTTTTATTTGTTTTGTGCGGCTTGTTTTGTCCACTATTTGCCTCTTATACACGAATTTAGCATTATGGTATTTTGTTGTTTTTGTCCACTATTTGCCATATTTATTGGTTGTTTAGGATTTTTATTACTTTACAAATAATAGAGATTTATCCTTACATTTCTTAATTATTTTATATTGTACTTATTTAAAATTTATTTATTTTTATTTTTATTGTTAAAGACCATGGATGACAAAAAAAATGTGTCTGGCAGACAGTGCAACTGCTCACAATATACTTAGAGGCCGAAAATATTTTTTTCCTCTCCTAACTGAAAAATCCTTATATTAGTACTATAGCCGGTACTACAAAATTGATTGAATGCTCCAGAAGAGCATATATAATTGGATACAACCAATGCTCCAGTAGAGCATCAATTACTAAATATCTCAATAAGATTATATATATGCTTCAGAAGAGTAAGAACACTCGTGGTAGAATTAAAGTAACTGGATAACAAATACTCTTGTAGAGTAGACAAGCTTAGTCAAAGTGAATACTCACGTGCAGTGAAATTGATCTGGTATGATTGAATAATTAATTCATTGTTTTATCAAGAAGAGAAAATCTGAAATTTGGCATACCTACTATTATCATTATGGTTTCAAGATGAAACAAGCGAGTTTATGTGTTTTAAATTTAGAGAACCAAGAATTTTTTCCAACGAATTAGAGTGTCAATCAATGTGTCGATGAGATAGGCACATATATGGTTCTCGTTAGCTTGCAACCTGAAGCTTGCAGAAATTTTATTGAGTTAAATTGGTAACTTACAGATTTTTATGTTCTGTTCTTACGAGAATTTTGATTTGACAATTGTGGTGAGTGTATGACTCAATACCAGAATGATAGAAGTTGAACATTGAGTGCCTATAAGAGCAATAATGAAGCGGTCTAGTAGAATCGTTTATTGCATGTGTGTAGTATAAGTAATTACCTCATGTACAGTTGAGGAAGTGTTGAGACACAAAAGGCACCAAACCAAACAAGTCATTGCAGATATTCTCTCTAACAGTGGTTTTCGGTCAGAAACCATCCATATCCATCTTAATTTAAGATATGCAAATGTGCAGTTTATATATGATAATTGCTCCACCACAATGCACAAAAAGATGGATCCTCAAGAAGAGGCTAAGAATATATGTTAGATTTTGAAACTCCAGTTTTCCATATTATTGGTGCTGGGTTTTACTACTCGATAGATTGATCGTATTAGTTTGACGAGTTTGTTACTCTGAAAGGGAGATTTATTAATTGCTCGATTGGTTAATCATCATTTTAGCGAGTTAGTTATCCCAACATCAAGGGGAGAAGTAAAAACAGCCGATTCATAAATAAAATGGACAAGATCATTATCTCATCAGATCCTCCATGATATGAACCTGAAATTCAAGAGATAATGTTGAAGACCAGATATTTACCTGACCGAATGTGTAAATATATCTTATATAAAAGGCTGTTAAAACTCAGAATTTGATAAATGTGTCCCTGAAGAACTATCTACCATTATTCTTTTGTTACATATCTATTTGATGAGTGGTAGAACTATCGATTCCAACGATAAAAATTCTCGTGAATGACAAAGTTTAAATCTATGGATAGAAAATACGAGTGATTAGAATTCATATGAATATTTCAATTTGAATAGTTTCCCACTATGATGAATCAGCTTCTAGAAGAAGTATAACAATACTTGGGACCTTTAATGATAGTTGAGATCTCATTATTAAAGAAAGATGGAATCGACCAGCAATAAAATGTCGACATGAAATTTGCTTATGCTGCAGTAGTTAGTAAAATGAATGACAATGGGGATCATGAAATGAAAGTCTGTGTTAGATACGAACATTAAACTTATAGGCCATAATACATGAAAAAACGCAATACACACCTATATGTATTGTATATATATTTTGGAATTGCTTAAAGCAATAGAAGTTTTGAAAAGTAATACGCCGGGTAAA